AGCAGATTCAGCAATAACTTTTGAAAGGGACATTTACTTGAGCAAGAGAAGATTGCATTTGGGCTAATTGGGAAACTTTCAAAGAACAAACATAGAGACAGAGGGCTGAATGGCCTCATCCTGTGGCGAGCATTACTATGATCCTAGAAATTTCTTTCCATACTACTGTGCACATGCCATGTGTGTGTATATAACTGTGCTCTGAAGTAGGGTTAGCTGCAAGTAGAAACTGTTCAATTCATAGTGCTTTGTCAGAGGAATAACTCTCTGGCAATGTCACTTGGGGCCTACTGATAGAGAGTAAATCCCACCTACTTCAGGTGTACATTGTGACTGTTTCTAAGGCTCAATGGATTTGTGAACCTCTGAGTTTAAAAGAAGCATTAAATATTGCCTTCTCTCAAAATTCGTCTGTGCCGATGCTCCTCTTTGTTGAGCTGCTTGTCAGAGTTGGCTTCAAACATCTGCTGTGCCAGGTCAACGCACTTAGTATTCGCATAAACTGCATAGGTCCCAGAAGTTAACATTCTAGTTACAACAGTTCCACATCTGGAAATGGGACTAGCACTTGTTTCCAAATTGCAGTTCCCGTTAGCTCTGAGGCACACTCAGAAAGAGCATTCTGATCTCACTGTCAGGTGCTCTGAAAGAAAGCTTTACTGATTACGCTGACAAGACAAAAACAATAGCCATGATCATCCACTGCTCTTTTGAGGAGGCATTGTTTACAGCATTTCCCTCCATTACATTTAATGGTGCTCTCAGGCTTTCACGGCTCATTATTTTAATAACTTCGGCCATAAACTATGTACCAACTTCAAACGGGAAGAATTCTCAAAAATTACTGAGAAACAATTTGCATGTGTTCAGCAGTTTTCATGATCTGAAAATATTCCCCCAGCCAATGAAACGCTTTTGAAGTAAAGTTACTGCCATATTGTTGGAAATCTAACAGTCAACTTGCTCACACGCAGCAATGGCCAGATAATCAGGGTGAGTGGTGGGAAGTGGGAAATAAGTATTGGGCAGGTCACGAGGAACAACCACCCTGCTCTTCAGGCTTTGTGTTAACCTGACAGGGCCTTCTGTGAATGTCTCATCCAAGAGGTAACTCTTCTGAAAGTGCTGCCCTCCTTCAGGAGTACTCTGAAGTTGGTGGCACAGTGGTTAGCACTGCTGCCTCAGCTTCAGGGACCCGGGTTCGAATCTAGCCTCTGGTGACTGTCTGTGTGGAGTTCGCACATTCTCCCCGTGTCTGCGTGGGTTTCCTCCCACAGTCCAAAGGTGTGCAGGCTAGGGTGGATTGGCCAGGGAGGTACTGTGGGTTTGGGTGGGTCTGGGTCTGGGTTGGATGCTCTCTGGAGGGTTGGTGCACTCTCGATGGCCCGAAAGGCGCCTCTCTACACAGTAGGTATTCTATGAAGTGTTAATCAGAAGCAGTTACTTGAGTTTGTGGAGTGCGACTTGAATCTCCAACCTTGCTACTGGCTGATAAATGCGGTAGAATCTTTGGGCCTAGCCATGGTAAGGAGGGGGTAGTGGGAGATTGGTGGTCTAGCTGTTTCTTTCCCCCATATTTTATTTAGAGGACGTTTCTGATATATTGGTGGGAGGGCTCCACCATGTAGAAATGCCCTGTCAGAATTTTTCCTTCATTTTTTTTTTCCATGGGGTGTGGAGGTCACTAGCAAGGCCTCTCTGCCAGGCATTTCAGAGGGCAGTTGCGAGTCGGCTACGATGCTGTGGATCTGGAGTCACATGTAGCCCAGACTGGATAAGGACAGCAGTTTCCTTCTATAAAGGATGTTGGTGATCCAGCAACAATTGGTGATAGTGTCATGGTCACTGAATTGAATCCAAAACTGGATTTTGGTTCCGGATTTATTTGTAGGCCCAGTTCTTAGCCTGCCGTACCATTTGAGTATTGAGCTGTTGGATTCGAGTCTCTCTCTGGAATTCATTCCCAAAATGTCCCTCCATCCTTTATGACCTTGCTCAATTATCTATCAAGTCTTTTGTTGCTCCACCTAAAGAATTAGGAACAGGATTAGCCCATTTGACCCATCCGGCCTGTTATGCCATTCACCAAGATTGGGGGTGGGAGGGTTTTGGTGAAAGGTGATCAAGAACCCATCCACCTCTGCCTTAAAAACATTCAAAGTCTCTGCTTTCATTGCCTTTGGGGGAAGAGACTTCCAAATACACTCAAGCTTCTAAGAAAAGATATTACTTCTGCCTTAAATGGATGACGCCCTTATTGGTGATCAGTGACCCCCTAGTTATAAATTCTCTCCCAAGACGATGATCCTTTCCCAATCTGCTCTGTCAGGATCCCTCCGGATTTTGTACATTGCGATCAAGTAGCCTCTCACTCTCCTAAACTCCAGCAGCTGCCAGCCCAGTCCATCTAACCTTTCCTCATGAGACAACCCTCTCATTCTAGATGTGTACATCTTCTCTGAACTGTGTCCAACACGTTTGCATTCTTCCGAAAATAAGGAGCCCAATACTGTACACAGAACTCCCCTGCCTTCTGGCATGGAGTCTGTACTCTGTACACCACTATCCCTGAAGTGGCTGAGGACATTTTGCATGTGTTTTAAAAAAAAAAGTACAGAAAAGTGCTCATCCTGGATTCCTGTAAGTTCATTACCATTGATAACCTTTACTTAACCAGCTTCCATGTAAAAAGCCAGGTATTGAATATTGTGCTAGTGTCCAACTATACTTGTCACTTGCTACAATTTGTCAGACTACTTTCTTCAACATGAACAGATTGGACCTCATTGTGATGTAGGAGGTGAAACTGTACATGAGGGGGACAGGAAATGCTGACTCCTCTTTTGTTATGGTTCACTAACATGCCATCTGCACAAGAACTTGCTGTAGAAGGAGCCCCTTTTTTTTTAATACACGTCAGGCAGCATCTTCGGAGAGTGAAACAGAATTAATGTTTTAGGGCTGTGACCTTTGATCAGAACATTTGAAGTGTGATCAGTTGTGAGCGGCGATGAAGTGGGTGAAGGACATGAGGGAAGGAGGTCTGCAACAGAGTGGAAGTCAGAGCAGATAGAAGGACAGAGCCAAAGGGAACCGTAGTGGGGAAAGAAGTTTTACCTAAATTTAAACCCCATCCACCACTCTTCGACCCATTGTCCCATGTAACCAAGGTACTGTTGTACACTGAGATGACCTTTTTCATTGTCCACTATATAGGTATATTTGGTCATGACGCCAAACTGAAGGAGCTGGAAGTCACAGTAAATGATCCACTGCATTACAGGTTCATAGCTCCTTGAAAGTGGAGTTGCAGGTAGACAGGGCGGTGAAGACAGCGTTTGGTATGCTTGCCTTTATTGGTCAGAGCATTGAGTATAGGAGTTGGGAGTTTATGTTGTGGCTGTATAGGACATTGGAGAGGCCACTTTTAGAATACTGTGTACCATTCTAGTCTCCCTTCTGTAAGAAAGATGTTAGTAAACTTGAGACGGTGCAGAAAACATTTACAAGGATGTTGCCGGAACTGGAGGTTTGAATTATCAGGAGAGGATGAATAGGCTGGGGCTTTTTTCACTGAAGTGTAGGAAGCTGAGGGGTGACCTTTATAGAGGTTGATAAAATCATGAGGGGCATGGATAGGCTGAATAGCCAAGGTCATCCTCCCAGGGTAGGGGAGTCCAAGACTAGAATATGTAGGTTTAAGATGAGAGGGGAAAGATTTAAAAAGGACCTGAGGGGTAACTTTTTCACAGAGGGTGGTGTATATATGGAATGAGCTGCTAGAGGAAGTGGTGGAGGCTGGTACAATACCAACATTAAAAGTCATGTGGATGGGTATATGATTAAGAAGGGTTTAGAGGGGTATGGGCCAAATGCTGGCAAATGGGACTTTGTCAGAGTGGGATATCTGGCAGGCACGGACGAGTTGGACTGAAGGGTCTGTTTCCATACCATATGACACGGAATACGGAGAGTGGTGTCATGGAAGGTGAGAAGATGGGGAGCCTGACAGTGAAGGTGGGTAAGGTGTGAGAGCATAAGTGCAGGAAATGTGATGGATATGGTTGAAGGCCTTGCTAAGGGTTGAGGGAAAATGACTTCTCACAAGCTTGTTCTTAAACCCCCGATTTCTGCAGTCAATCAAATTGCTAAGGTCATCCAACACTTTACGTGTGTTCAAATTTCCCGTCTGTCACACTTACAGATGTTCACACTTGGTGTGTCTCGTTTTGTTGCTGGGCTTGAAATAAACAAAGATAACCAGTTTGTTTCCAATAAGATTCCGAATATCAGCAGATCGAATTATTCACCGTGTATCGAAATGAATGTGCAATTTACGTACTCAAGAAATCAGTCATTGGGAAGCAAAGCATCTTCCACACAAAGTGACAATTTTAAACTCCCCTATCAGTCAGTTATTCATTACCCTGACTATCAGCGTGTATGAGGTGCTTGGAGTCTTGGTAATGTTCAATCAAAAGAAAACCTCCTGATTTGACTGTATCCAAACTGACTCTTTAAATAACAGCACTTTCTGCAACTAATAATGCCAAAGAGTGGGATGACATTGGACCACAAGCAAGCAAATATCAAACAGAATAATGACAGATTCATTCTTTTAAAATTCATTTTTGGGATGTGGCTGTCAGTCGCAAGACCTACACTTACTGCTCACCTCTCGCTGCTCTGAACGGTGGGACTTATTTGGGAAATTTCGAGGCTAGTTATAAGCCCAGCTCACTGATACAGGCCTGGAGGTCAGACCAGGCACACCAGGTAAGGGCAGCAGTTCAGGACAATCTAATCACTTCATAGTCACTCTTCCTACAATGAGCTTTGTGCGCTCAAATTGCAGATGAAGGGGTGAGTTGTTTAGTAACTTGTTCCAAAGCCTGTGCTCTTGCTGCACAGTTGGTGAATTCAGTGGCTACTTTGCCCTCGTTTATACTGGACAAGATCTGGGGCAGTGTTCTTAACCTGCTTCTGCCTTCCATTCTCAGATAGTGCGACATGACCGAACAATGGAGAAGATAGTCTTCCCTGTGCCCAGTATCTGTGAATATCTCACAGACGAGTCCAAGACTAAGGTGTTTAGCACCACAGAACGAGACGAGCAGGGCAGCAAAGTCAATGATTTCTTCCAGCAAACTGAGGATCTTTACAACGAAATGATTTGGCAGAAGAAGATTAAAAGTAAGTAATTGGGCTTGGGTCTGCACAGGCTGTTGGAATTTGGAAAGTGTTCTTTTGTGAGGAATTATTAATTAGCCTTTGTGTTATGGCATTTGTACCTGATTTTGGCAATGCTTATGTTAACTCCATATCATCCAAGAACTAGATGTGGCTAACATGGTACTGACATGTTACAGTGTTTATTACAGTTCCTGACATATACGTATGTTAAAGTCACAGGCACTGCGGCTAATATTGAGCTGATCAGTTAAAACAGTAGTGCACTTGCATCAGCAAGTCATGCTTCAAATGACTCCAAAAAAGGTGGAGACTAAGACCTTTCAACCTTCGGGTCACGTGCTCTGATACAGTGATGTGCATGCCTCTTAAAGGTACACTGCATACCAGCTGGGCCTTGTGTATAAAATGTGACGGTGTGAGCAGAAATGATTTTCGCTTTAGACAAGTAACATCTATCCTCCTTCATGTCGAAGTCTGATTGTGTGTTTTTTTTAAATTTGTCAGCCAATTTTTTTGGATTCTCTAAGATCTTAAGATGTTAAATGCGATTTGTGCAATGCTTTGTCTTTGTAGGGTAGGTCAGGCATGTTTTAGGCCTGAAGATGTCCTGTTTGTGAGTTTTCACAATAAACAGCAAACAATGATCTGATCAGGGTAAGCTTTGATGTGGCCTATTCTGTTCCAAGCATGGAAGATGAGTAAGTGGTTAGAACCCTATTTGGAAGAGTGCTGATGAGGTGAACTCTTGCATTTGTCCCGATGCATTCAGCAGCCTGCTTTCTGTGCAACGATGTTACTGTTCAGTTCCTAAATGTCTAAATTCTTACTGGATTACTGGCTGTGGCTTGTATTAGGCCAGTCCAGCCATTGAGGCTGCAGTGATGTGGTAACAAGTAGTCCCATTTAATTAAACATGGGACAGCAATGTCACTTACCCTTTCTCCCCAAACCCAGTAACCCACTGTCCCACACACCCACTATCCCGCTCTGTCCATTTGAGCCTCCTTAAACATGCCTGTCTCCAGGACAATCCAGTACTTATCTGTATATTGTGTGTGCGTAAGGCTTAAGCATCAAAAAAAGACCATTCTCTCTGGAGAAGATCTGCTGACCCAATAAATGTGTTTTAGTTTGGAAAGGCGTTTGATCAGGTAGACCTGGAGACAATATTTCCATTTTGTTCTGGAATCTACAATTTGTGGTCATAGATGTGAAATGAAAATGGAGAACACTGGAAACAATCCAGCAGGCCCAGCAATGTCTGTTTAGTGAGAGAAGCCGAGCTAATGTTATAAGATATTCCCATTATGGCCTTTGATAGGCATTAGAAAATAATTCACAAGAAACAGCGCGCAGACAGCATCTACCGTACGCAGTTACTGTGTCAGAGCAGATAGTAAATACATGAGGCAGAAAGGAATAGAAAGACATGCCAAGAGGGGCAGATGAATTATGGTGGGAGGAGGCTCATACAGACCATCTATAGCAAACTGCACAAGATGGGCTGAATGGCCTGTTTCTGTGCTGGAAATTCTCTGTAAAAATTGTTTGGTCTAAAATGGCACCAGTGCAGCCTCACCTTTGCCTCGGCAGAAAGAATTCTATTGGATAAGACATCTCCTCACCTTGGTCTTTCTTTCTTTCAGATAACCCAGGCTTGTTTTGGTTCTCAAAGAACATATCGCTGTGGGGGACCATTTCATTCAATTTTGCAGTATTTATAAACCTAGCTGTCGCACTTTTTTACCCCTTTGGGGATGATGGTGATGAGGGTAAGTTAGAAAGTACATTTCAAAATGATTGCTTTAGTTAGTGCACTGCGGTTGTCTATTTTCTCAGATGACCTGGAAAGAGAGAGTGGGGACCATGTTTCCAGGTTATGCTATTGTTGGGGAATGGTGATATTGTGGTCACGTCCCTGGGCTAACAGTTCCGAGATCAGTAATAATGCTTTGGCACGTGGGTTCAATTCCCACCCGATAGTGAAATATGAATTCAATACAAATAAAACAGTCACCTAATGGTGACCACACTGATTGTTGAAATATGATTCACTGACACCCTTTAGGGGTGACCCCATTTGCGGTAATCTTAGCAGAGGTGGCCTTACAGAAGTTTGTAAAATCATAAGGGGCACAGATAAGATGAACAGCCAAGGCCTTTTCCCCAGGGTAGGGGAGTTCAAAATTTAGAGGGCTTAGATTTAAAGTGAGAGGGTTAAGATTTAAAAGGGATCTGAGGAGCAACGTTTTCACACAGAGGGTGGTGCGTATGTGGAATGAACTGCCGGAGGAAGTGGTAGATGCAGGTCCAGTTACAACATTAAAAAGGCATTTGGACAGGTACATGGATAGGGACGGTTTAGAGGGATATGGGCCAAATGCAGGCAAATGGGACTAGTTTAGCTTAGGAAACTTGGCTGGCATGGATGAAGGGTCTTTTTCCAGGTTATACGACTCTGTTTTGGATCTAATCACTTGTCTACCCCTTGTCTGAAGTTGTGGCACCATCTTAGCGTCATTGTGAATTTGACAGCAAAATCTGGCCCTTTATTAGAGATGGTTCCAGTTGCTGTATCCAGTGAGGTGGGGACGATGATCATCAGGAATGTGTTGTCGGAAGTCCACTTGAGTTATGTGAACTTTTTCGTACTTATTAATGTACACTCACTGACAGTTTTATTCTCTTTGCAGGTACCATCTCTCCGCTGTTTAACCTGCTGCTGTGGATAGTGGTGTTTGTTTCCGTTGGTTTGCTTATAGTCCTCCCAAAACCTCATGGAATAAGACTGTTTATTGTATTTGTAATGTTCCGGTCTATATACTCACTTGGTCTCGGGCCTACTCTCATACTCTTGGGTGCTCTAAATGTAAGTAGCATCATTTTTCCTGAGAGAATATGACTTGTAAACTTTGCATATGCCAGTCTTTATCTGAGTGTAGTTTCATTGCTAAGGCAGATGGCAGATGAAAAGGAAGCCTTGCACTTACATTGGGATTTTCACGATGGTTGGACGTGCTAAAGTGCTTTATAGGAATGAAGGATTTCTGAAGTGCAGTCACTGTACTGATATAGGAATTATAACCCTTTACTGAACTGGTGATCCCAGTGAGCATCTTGTACACGTTGGAAATTGCAGAGCGCAGGAAATTGCATCCGATCAGCTGTTTCATTTCCCACCCATTAATTTATTGGTACATGCTCCCAAGTTTATAGCGACATCACATTGCGCTCTGGGTCTGCACTGCTAATTCCTTAGAATTCTGCAGGGAATTTGTACCATGTGTCAACTCAACCTAAATCAATGTTTAAAACCCAGAGGCAGATGGAGTCAGAGCCTACTGTAGTCTTTGGGTGAACTGGGGCTAGATGATGACAGCCCAGATCAGGCACACAAACATAATCCAGTCCACATTTTAATGTCCTTATTTATTACTATTTTGCAAAAACTAATTTCTAAAAGAGGGCCATTTTGTGGTTTCTTTTCTGTAATGTAGTTGAGGAACAAGTCAATGAAAAAACCCAGGTACTACAACCTCTCCCTGTGACTGTTCTTAGAGTGCTACAACCTCATGATATGTTTATTTACACCATAACTCTGACCATAGGAATTTATAATAAGTAGGATTTTGTTATACTTTCTATTCTTGCTGTCAGGTTGTGTTATTAAGGGCAGGCAGTGGCATAATGTTATTGAGATAACAAGGTGTAGAGCTGGATGAACACAGCAGGCCAAGCAGCGTCAGAGGAGTAGGAAAGCTGACGTTTCAGGCCTAGACCCTTCTTCAGAAATGTTATTGTCAATAACATTATTGCATAACGTTATTGTCGCTGGCCTAGTAATCCAGACACTAACAAGTTCTCCGGGATTCAGTCAAAGTCTGAAGCCATTGTGTATGGACTTAATTATTTTCCTAACGTTTTAGCTTCAAAATGAGGGCAGATTAAATGGAGTTAAATATAAAATGTGCCTGATCCATGAAGGGCAGCTGTTATCCACTCCACTTTCTCCTAAAGGCGGCTCAGAGTGAGGAACATTTTTGTTTGAATTCAGCAGTAGATGAAATTGAGAATGTGACTGCTTGTAGCAAACTGGATTTGGAATGTTGCAAAGATTATACTGCATGTCAATTGTGTTTTGCTATTGGAATCATAACGCTGATCTAATAGTTTGGATTTCCAACATCAAAGACACGTACAAAAGAGCCAGAGTCTGGTATTGAGGCAGATGGTTTAAAAAACATCAGCAGTAAGCTCCTGTAAGATAAAATAGAGCAAACAACTAACTGAACAATCCCTCCCAAAATGACAAGTTTAATTTAGATTAAAGTTGTTGGTTCTTTTAATATGTTCAACTTGATGTGCTCATAGTTCAACGATCTGGAAGTTATTAATAAAACAGTTTGGTTTATTTTAAAGCCTCACAGTGTTAAACTTGGACACTGACCTTTCAGTGTGCAGGGTACATTACTTGTAACTGTTTTCATTACCTGTGGCTCACCCAGTTCTCTTCAGTTTTGATTTTGATTGACTGGGAGTTGGGAAAGGAGGGGAACTCCTTTGAAATCCGGGGCCACCTTCTGAAGCACTTGGCTGAAACGAATGGCTGAGAATTTAGAATTTCCAGGACAGGTGATGACCCCAGGCCTGTGGGCTGGAGACGGTGTAAAATGGCACTAGAACCAGAGACCTCACCACCTGTGCAGGGACTAGAAGTTTTATTGAAGTGTTTGGAGTATTTCTGGTGTAAATAAAGGTAATGTTTATGCTACTGTGGGTGGGGGGAGGAATTGCTATTCACAAGAAACCGAATTGACCAGCCATATAAATACTGTGGCTAGAAGAGCATGTCAGAGGCTAAGAATCCTACTTTCCTAGAACTCCCTTCCTAATGACATTGTGTGACACTTGTGGTTCAACAAGGTAGCTCACCACCACCTCTTTGTGGACAACTAGACATGGGCAATAAATGCTGGCAGTGCCCACATCCTGTGAATGATTTGTTTTTTCTTGAAAACAAGGCACAGATTGAAAATGATGAGCAAAAGAAGTAGGTGGAGATTTGTTTTTTTTTTAATCTAAACACGCTGCGTTGTTGAAATCCAGGCTATACTATCAGAAAGCGTGGCGGCAGCTCAATCACTGAATTTTTACAGCACACGGGAGGAGGCCAGTCTGCCCGTCATGCGTGAACTGGCCAAGTTACTCAGCAGCACTCCCCACTGCCTTCACCCCACAGCCCTGCATGTTGTTCCTTTTTCAGGTCATAACCCTCTTGATTGAACCTGCCTCCAAAATACTTGTGGGCAGCATGTTCTAGCTCTCTGTGAAAACATTTCTGGAGTCACCATTCGCCAGTCACCTTAAACCTTCTTGACCCTTCCACCAACGTGGACAGCTTCTTTTCTGTATCTCGTTGCTTCAGACCCTCTATGATCTTGAGTACACCTATCAAATTGCCCCTTGGTCTTCTCTTCTCCAAGGAGAACACTCGCAACTACGTCTTCCCCTCCATGTAGTTGATGTTCCTCATGTCTGGAATATTGTTGTGAATGTTTCTTCTCATGTCTTCAGATCGTTGCTCAAGGGCAGTGCCTAGAATTGGATTGGACTCAGTATTCTTGTTAAGGTCAATCCCGTGGTTTGTACATAACCCCTTGCTCTTGTACTCTGTGTCTCTACTAATAAAGCTCACAATCTTACAATCCTGCAGATGCAATAATAATCTTCAAAAGAGAGCGCGAGATATATCTATGTGAGAGAAGGAAATTTGTACCATTTAGAGTAGAATGAATTGGATGGCTCTTTCAATGAACTAGCACACGAATAATGGGCCGTATAACCCCCTTCTGTGCTGCATCATTCTACTATTCTCCTATAGTGATGCTGCCAAGCCAATCTTGATGGTGGCCATTGAAATCCCCCACCCATTTTGTGCCCTTGCCACCCTCTGCTTCCTTCAAGTGTTGCTCAACACCGAGGAGTACTGAATCAGCAGCTGAGGTAGGGCGGTACGTGGTAGTCAGCAGGAGGTTTCCTTGCCCATGTTTAACATGAAGCCATGAGACTTCATGGGATCTGGAGTTATTGTTGAGGACTCCCAGGGCAACTCCCTGCTGACTGTGTATACCACTGTGCCATTAAACCTATTCTGTTTCACAAGATTGAGCCGCTCCCATGCCTAAACCATGATATGAACAGCCTTCCCTAACGTCAGTAAAAAGGATTGGGCACTGATTCTATCAAAGACATCTCAGATGGTTTTGGTAGACTCCAACAGCATGGGTACCTGCAGATGTGCCCATTAGATTGCCAGATACAAACCGGAGATCCTTATCCAATGCTTGCTCTGCTCATTTTGTACCTCAAAGTAGTGATTGCGTTCTCATCCACCGGGAAATAGCCTCCTGTATGATCCAGGTGAATGTTCGCTATCCGAATACACCAGCCTAGCTGGGAGTGGTGCAGAGATCACCAGCAAAGTGGGCATTTTTACCCATTGCAGAGAAGGTGGAGGGGAGCTGTCCTCTCCTTGAGCAGCGCTGCAGTGTCATTCTTCATTGTTTCGCTTCAGAGAACCGTTAGTGAGAGATTGATTTCCATCATTAGTGAGCCACTTGGAGTTACTACAACAATCTGAGTGCTCATGGTTCCTGGTGGGGAATAACCAGCTGATTTGCCCCTTCCCCACCTTTCAAACTGGCCAACACCAGGCACCTACCACTGCAGGTCATGAACAGCTTTCACCATTCATTTTAGATTTACTTTCCCACAGCCTCTGTGTAGGAAATGCCAGTATTCCCAAAGGTAGGAGTGGATGGAAATTTAGACAATCACTAACTGCGGTGGGAGGAAACCTAGCTTCTCCTCTCTCTTGTGTTTGTTCCACTGTGTAATTCAGTGTGAGTTCAGTATGTCTTCTGCAATAACACCCCCGCCATGCTTTGACAGAAATCGATTTCAACGTTCTGGTGACTTTTAAATCCCCACGCCTGCAATTCATCTCCTCAGGTATCCTTGAAATTCCCAAAGTGGTAAACTCTCTGGTCAGAGGGAATCTCAGATTCTGCTAGGTTCCCTCTAAAGATGAAATTATGAGCATGCTCCTCAGAAAATTGGCCTTTGGCCTTTCTCCACCTTTCGCTACAAATATGGTGGATTTTCAATCTGGACTCCCCTCTTTGGGGGTTAGTTAGCTCAGTTGGCAGGATACCTTGAGTGTGGTGTAGAAACTTATCAATATCCTGCATTCGCTCCTCCTACAGGTAGTGACAGTGCATAGAGAGCTGACTTACACCTTGCTCCATGCCTGACGCCTGTAAGCGTGAGGCTAGAATCTGTCATGACCTGGGAGCTGACCTCAACTCTTTAATCATTTCCCAAATTTAGGAGTTCTCTTTCAAGATACTTTGCAGTTCATCTCATTTTTTGATCATGTAAAGATAACACAGCAAACTTTGTTTTAACTGGCATTCTCAATAAACTGGCAAAAATTATATCCCTCAAGGTTCTAGAGCAGATTTGTAGCTTGGGTTGTGGATATTGAGGTTGGTTGACTCGCCGAGCTGGTTCATTGTTTTCTGCAAACGTTTCATTAACCTGCTGGGTAACATCATCAGTGCAGCCTCCGATGAAGTGCTGTTGTGTTTCCCCGCCTGTTATTTAAACTCTGGTGTCCGTTGAGCTGGATTACCTCACTTCCGGTTTTCCTTCGCAGTGGAGTGTATATGGGGTCTAGCTCTGTGTTTATTCATGGCTTTCTTAATGGAGAACGAGGCTTCTAGGAATTCCCGTGCTTGTCTCTGCTTTGCCTGTCCCAGGATCCTGGTATTGTTCCAATCGAATTGGTGGTTTTCCCTATCCATGTGGATGGAGATGAGTGAGCATTGGTCGTGTCTTTTTGTTGCCATTTGATGTTCGTGTACCCTTGTTGTTAATTTCCTTCCTGTTAGTCCAATGTCGTGTTTATCACAGTCTCTGCAGGGAATCTTGTATGTAATATTGGTCCTGTCCGTGGTGGGTGGTGGGTCTTTGGTTCGGGTGAGCAGTTGGTGTAGGGTTGATATGGGTTTGTGTGCTACTCTGATGCCTAGTGGTCATAGGAGTCTTGTGGTCAGTTCAGATGTGTTCCTGATGTAAGGTAGCGTGATGAGTGTGTCGGGGCGTGTAGTATCTTCCTGGTGTCGTTTGTATCTAATAGGCATCTTCTGACTCAGTTTTTGGGTATCCATTCTCTTTGAATACTTGGAAGAGGTACTCCTCTTCTTTTTGGCATTGCTCTGTGCTGCTGCAGTGTGTTGCCTGTTTAATTAACGTTCTCACGGAACTTTGTGTGTGTTAGGGTGTTGAAATTCAGTACTTGGTCAGTGTGTGTGGCTTTCCTGTGTACATTTTGTTAGGAATTTCCCATTGGTACTGCGTTCCACCATACTATTTGAACAAGCAGCAACACACTGCTCATGGTGGAACAGTGTTTTCACATTGATTATGTGGACCTCTCGATTATCCGTAATATTTGATCAGCTCCTGGTTCCATAGATGCTGGTTAGTAAGATGTTTTCTCTCATTGGGAAGTCCTCTTGGAGTCCACTCCTACCACGTGACATCCTCACTTTGCCTTGCAATGTCTCCTGGGGTCATCTTTAAGTAATCTTCACTGTAAAGGAGCACATTTCAGAATGCCCTTTTACTGATCCAACAGATGTATGATTCAGTGAGGTATTACTGCAGCTAATTCACAGAATCTGTTCAGTGTGGAAGCAGGCCATTCAGTCCATCGAGTCCACACTGACCCTCCAAAGAACATTCTGCCCAGACCTATCCCCCTGTTATCCCATGGCTAACCCACCTAAACTACATATCCCTGCACACTGTGGGCAATTTAGCATGGCCAATCCACCTAAACTGCACATCTTTGGACTGTGGGAGGAAACCCACGCAGACACAGGGAGAATGTGCAAACTGCGGAGGCTGGAATCAAACCCGGGTCCCTGGTGCTGTGAGGCAGCAGTGCTAACCACTGAGCCACCGTGCCACCCAATGCAACTATAATAATGGTCTGACGATATGACTCATGCCTAACTTCAACTCATGACAGGTGCTGTCTGGGCAGGTGTGAGTCAAGTTTTTGTATCAATTTCTTCAAGTAATAAATGCCCACTCTCCTGTTCTCTTTAGCTATGCAATAAGATCGTGTTCTTGGTGAGTTTTGTTGGAAATCGTGGAACGTTCACCCGTGGTTATAAGGCGGTGGTCATGGATGTGGAGTTTTTATACCATGTGACCTATGTGGTGGTCTGCATGCTTGGCCTTTTTGCTCACGAATTCTTCTACAGTTTCCTGGTAAGTGACTGCAAGCTTTCGAAAATTGCACTGAGCATTTTAGTCCAGTTGTAGGTACAATGCATCCATGTGCCAGCAGGAGGTGTCTGCCCTGGCACAGCAATTCATAGACTCCTGAGAGAGGAGAGACCCCCCCGCCACAACCCCACCTCAGGCTGTTTTTCACATGGCATTGGTCGTGAATGTTAGTGTTTTCTTTTCTTCTGGTTTAATCTTTCCCTTTAAGGTTCCCGTAGGCTCGAGTCCATGTTGGCAGGTGATTTTTTGTTTTATTGGATTAGTTGCGATTGATGCTGTTCCAAACCAAATCTGAGGAACAGAAAGAACTAGGAGCAGGAATAAATAATTCAGCCCCTTGCTCTGACATTTAAAACAATTTGATCTCTTCTCAGCCTTGACTCCACTTCCCTGCCTGCTCGCTATAACACTTCAATCTTTCGTTATTAATTAAAAGTCTGCCTTTCCCCTCGGATACCTTCAGTGTCACACCAAACAGATAGGTTGCTTTCCCTGAATTTCTTATCTCCAATCATTCTTAGCAGTGCCAAGAAACTACTGCTAGTGGGCGTCTTTGCCCCTCCTCCCACAGATTCATGACCCTTTCAGGGAAGTAATTTCTCCTAATCTCTGTTTTAAATCTGCGCCCCCTTATCCTAAAACTATGACCTCTTGTTCTCAATTCTCTTCCAAGGGGAAACATCCTCTCTCTGTCTACTGTATCAATTCCCTTTAGCATCTTACATTCCTCAATTAGATCTCATTCTCCTAAACTCTTGGGAGTCTAGAGGACATTCAAATCCCCCGGTACCTTCAGCAAGCCTGATCCACTATTCAGTTAGAATATAGCTCGTCTCACTTTTAACTCCAACTTCCCATCTTTGTTTCGTAGCCCCTAGTATCTGTCTTAACAATAAATTGTAGTTTTTAAATTTAAGTTGACCGCAGACTCATTGTTTCTGGGGACAGGCTTTGAGATTCCTCCGATGTTTGTGACAGCGTTCCTGAACTGTCTGGCTGTAGAATCATAGAAGCCATACAGTGTGGAAGCAGGCCATTCGACCCATTGAGTTCATGGTGGCCCTCCAAAGAGGATCCTACCCGGACCCACTCCCCTACCCTATCTCCAATACACTGCATCTGCCATGGCTAACCCACCTAGCCTGCACATCCCTGCACACTATGGGGGGCAATTTAGCATGGCCAGTCTCCCCAACCTGCACATCTTTGGACTGTGGGAGGAATCTGGAGCCCACGGGAGAAACCCACGCAGGCACGGGGAGAATGTGCAAACTCCACACACAGTTGCCTGAGGGGGGCAATCAGATCTGGGTCCCTGGTGCTGTGAGGCAGCAATGCTAACCACTGAGCCACAGTGCAGCCCCCTCTAATATTGAGGTCTTGCATATTCTTGTACTAAAGGCAGTGCTTTCTCTCCATCTACCCTATGTCATACTTAAATCACCTGGACCGCTTTGATCTGATCACTGCTCAGTGCTCTGTTCTCCATGCAGTGAACGCTAGCCTATTAAGTTTGCAAATTGTCAGCTCCTTGGCTTCAGAAAGATCTGCAAACCCTCCTTACCAAGCAGAGAAACAGTCAAGCTGGATTATTTATAATACAAATGGCAACTTGAAGTCTGACTGAAACTCTAATGCATTCTGCTTAGAATATTGTAATTGGGAAGTGAACACAGAAAGCATGTAAACTGTAACATTAGTAAAGTGTGCAGATTGTTGTTTTTTTTTCCCCCAGAAGCCACGGTCTTCTATTTAAAGACTCAGAGTCCTGCAGCATGGAAACAGAGCCTTTGGTCCTACCAGTCCATGCCGAAAATAGTCCCAAACTAAACTAATCCCACCTGCCTGCACTTGGTCTATTTCCCTCCAAACATTTCTTATTCATGCACTTTTCCAAATATCTTTTAAACGTTGTAACTGTACCCACACAAACCTTCTCCTCTGGAAGCTCATTCTACACACAAACCACTTTGTGTTTAAAAATAAATAATTGCCCCATATGTCCTTTTAAAGTCTTTCTCCTCTCAGCTTTAAAAACATGCCCCCAAGTTTTAAAGTCTCCCACCCTAGGGAAAAGACACCTGCCATTCACCCTATTATACCGCTCATGATTTTATAAACATCCATAAGGTCACCCCTCAACTTCCTACGCTCCAGTGAAAAAAGCCTCAGTCAATCCAGCCTCTCCTTATAACTCAAATCATCCATTCCCGGCAACATCCTGGCATATCTCTTCTTTCCAGTTTAATAACTTCCTATAGCAGGGAGACTAGAACTGTACACAGTACTCCAGAAGAGGCATTATTAATGTCTTGCACAACATCTGCAGAATATTTGGAGAGTATTGAATGAAACGTTGTGCCTCTGGATTAAGGATTATTGGATTCCTGATTCTTGTTCTTTAGTATATTAGAAATGAATGCGAATCATTCCTTTACCTGCTTGTTTTGCAGTTCAGTTTTCTAAACCATCAATGCATGGTCTGGGCCAGCCTCCTATACTCAAGATCCAATTTGATCAAGTGTCTTCATCAATAACTGTCTCGCATTCTTGTTAAATCAGAGATAATTGGTGTTTCTTCAGCCTCCATTTCACCACCATGTTACACATTCTTCAAAACCAGATTTTCCTCGTGTTTGATGTGAGATGGTTAAATAAACTAATGTGTCTCCAATACTCGTTGATCAGTTACACCAAAGGTTTTTGCACCATGCCCCTTTTCAGAAGCTCTGGGTGATTTTTTTTTCTCCCCGGCCACTCAATTGCATGACCCCACTCCTCCCATAACGTACCAAAATCAAGATAGTCCGTGCTCAAACCATCGGGGTTTGGAGCACAGAAGGATGCGTTTCAACTTCTTACCAAAAGTGATCCAAAATAAAATCCCCTTGCTCTCGCTCCATAGCCCTGCTTCTTAAGAGAGGGAAGACTTGTGGTGCCATCCCAGCCTGAACCTAGGTAAACTCATTTGGAAAATTGCTCATCTCCAGAGCTCTTCAGATATATATTCTCATGAGAAAGGATGTTCCTGTTTCTCAATCTTCATTCAGACTGAAGGCTTGCCGCTACAGGAGCCCTGTTATTAACTAATATCCACAAGTTATTCACTGGATAAATCTCTTGCCTGTTGGACCAGTCCCAATATTCCCAGATTTCGGAGTCTTGACTCCTGAACCATGCCTTTGCATAGTAGTCCCTGGTTCAGAAATCTTACACATTGTTTCTTTAAAAGATTGTTTTGTTTTGTGTTTTATTTCCCCTTTTGTAATTTAGCTGCATTTTTTTTTTTCTTTTCCCCCAGTTGTTTGACTTGGTCTACAGGGAAGAAACGTTACTCAATGTCATAAAGAGTGTCACGAGAAATGGTCGGTCCATTATACTGACAGCAGTGCTGGCCCTGATCCTTGTTTACCTGTTCTCCATCGTGGGGTTCCTCTTCCTGCAAGATGACTTCATTATGGAAGTGGACCGACTGGAGAAGAACAAGACACCTCTAACAGGTAGCTCCCCTTCTTCCCTGTAGCCGGGCAGCATTGGATCTTTAACATTGTTGTGCACGATGCACTGTAGATATATCAAAGGAACCAAGTAAATGCAGTTCACAGTTGACAGGCTTAAAATGATGCATGCAGTGAATTTCAGGCTGATTCTTGTTGGTGTTTTATAGCACAAGAAAACCTCTACGGCCCACCCTTGAACAAGGAGGAGGATGTGTGTCAGGAGAACTGTCCCATGTTACCTAATGCAGGTTAGTGAGCCTGTTGGAAAGCAGGCACAGTCTGCGTCTATGACTTCTGACAATGCCTATGTAACACTATGTTGCTTCAAATGGAAAGAGGTGGAATTAAAGACTGGAACTGCTTGTTTTCTGAATGGTCGGATTCCAGCTTACCACATTGATTTTACAGTTTGACTTGGGACCACAGTCTCGCATTATATCTACATTTTAAAATAAAAGATCCATATAGTCCCTAAAAGAATAAACATTCCACAACCTTCTTAAAAAAAAAAAATTACATTTTATTATACGAGGTTCAAACAGGAAAATGATTTATTATGTGCTTGTAGACTTGCTCGCCGAGCCGGTGTGTTGATTGCAAATGTTTTGTCACCCTGCTAGGTAACTCTGTCAGTGTGCCCCTGGTGAAGCGTTGGTGTTCTGCCTCATTTGTTATTTATATACCTTTGTTTGCTGGGGTGGTTAGTATGGCTTCTGGTTTCGTTTCTCAGTGGTTTGTACAAAGGGTCTAATTCAATGTGTTTGTTGATGGAGTTCCGGTTAGAATACCAGGCCTCCAGGAATTCCCTGGCATGTCTCTGTTTGGCTCGTGCTATTATGGATGTGTTGTCCCAGTTGAATTCATGTCCCTCGTTGTCCGTGAGTAGTGAGACAAGTGAGAATTGGTTGTGTCTCTTGGTGGGTAGCTGGTGTTCATGTATCTGTATTGTCAGTTTTCTTCCAGTTTGGCCTATATAGTGTTTCTCACAGGCCTTGCATGGTATTTTGTATATTACACAGGTTTTGCTGGTTTTGAGTGTGGGATCCTTTACATTCGTCAGTAGCTGTCACAGGCGCAGGGTGGTTGTTGGCTTGTGGGCTAATCTGAAACCTAGGGGCCTGAGTAATCTTGTGATCATCTCTGATATGTCTCTGATGTATGGTAGGGTGGTTAATGAGTCTGGTCGTGTTGTGTCTTCCTATTGTGGTCTGTCTCGGAGGTAACAGTGGATTGTGTTTTTTGGGTATCCATTCCTTTTGAAGACTTTGTATGGGTGCTCCTGTTCTGCTTTGTGTAGTTCCAGGTTGCTGTAATGTGTTGTGGCTGGTTTAAATAGTGTCCTGATGCAGCGCTCCCCACTATACAACCCAAACTTTAGTTCCAATATGTAGATGAAACCTTTGTGATTATTAAACACACAAAACTAGAAGAAACCCACTGACACATTAACAACATCCTCGCTGGGATAAAATTCGCAAAAGAAGAAGAGAACAACAACCAACTACCCTTCCTGGACATAATAGTAGAATGCAAAACAACGGGGAACTCCAGACTAGCGTACACAAAAAGACCACACATACGGACCAGATACTCAACTACATCAGCAACCACCCCAACACCCACAAACAGAGCTGCATCAGGACACTATCTAAACCAGCCACAACACGTTGCAGCAACCCGGAAACTATGCAAAGCAGAACAGGAACACCTATACGGAATCTTCAAAAGGAATGGATACCGGAAAAGCACAGTCCGCTGTTACCTCTGAGACAGACCACCACAAGAAGACACAACACAACCAGAAACCAGTCACCCTACAGTACATCAGAGACATTTCAGAGATGACCATAAAACTACTCAGACCCCTAGGTTTCAGACTAGCCCACAAACCACCAACCACACTGCAACAGCTACTGACTAACGTAAAGGATCCCACACTCAAAACCAGCAAAACCTGTGTAATATACAAAATACCATGCAAGGCCTGTGAGAAACACTATATAGGCCAAACTGGAAGAAAATTGACAATACAGATACATGAACACCAGCTAGCCACCAAGAGACGTGACCAATTCTCACTTGTCTCACTACACACTGACAACGAGGGACACGAATTTGACTGGGACAACACATCCATAATAGCACAAGCCAAACAGACATGCCAGGGAATTCCTGGAGGCCTGGTATTCCAACCGGAACTCCATCAACAAACACATTGAGCTGGACCCGATATACAAACCACTGAAAAACAGAGCCGCAAGTGGTACCAACCACCCCAGAAAACTGAGGCATATAAATAACAAACGGGACAGAACACCAACACTTCACCGGAGGCACACTGACGATGTTACCCAGCAGGGTGATGGAACGTCTACAATCAAACACCCCGGCTCGGAGAGCAAGTCTGCAACCTCATCCACAACCCAAACTACAAAATCTTCTCAAAAACTTTTAAGTTTAGTATGTATCTGTATATACAATCTACTGTGTGTGTGTGATATAGACATGCAAACTACAATATATGCACAGTCTTCCATATATAATCTATATATATATATATACACACACTCACACACAATCTATATTTACTATATGTACATACAGTTGATATACACACATTTATGTATACAATCTATGCTACTATATGTTCATACACAATCAATTTATATGACTATAAAGATAAATCTAAAATTGTCATAACCCTACAGGACCAGTCTTCAATAAAGATAACTGGTGATAGGTTAACCTGAGGGTAACTGCACCTCAGGAAGGGAAGAGGTTGAGAAAGGCAGACCTTCATGGTAAACTCAACTGGTGTGGGAACTGAACCCATCACTGTTGGCATCGCTCTGTACCACAAACCAGCTGTCCAGTCAACTGAGCTAATCTCTCTATACGTGTAGTTATATATAGTTATTGTATATACAATTCCTATTGCAAAATCTAGAATTAGGCCCATATACATAACAGACAAGCAGCACAGCATAACAAATAGCAAATGCAGTCAAGCCAGGTCACATGGATTTCTCAGCAACATCACCCCCCGCACCACCACCACCACCTCCCCCCAAACAAACACCCACCCCACAACCCCTGCCTGATATTATTGACACTGGGTCAGCAAATCTCATTGAAACTTTACAAGGGGTTCTAGTTTCTTCTTTTTTGAAGACCAAGCTTCAGTTGACCCTCAAAAGCCACTTGGTGATGGACTGCTCTCTTTCTGGTATTTTACCCTCCTTTTCATGGGACTACGCTCCACTGTATTCTTGAAATTGTACTCCAACACATACTTGCAGACATAAGGTTTTGGGATAGAAAAGACCTGTTCAGAAAGGATGGATCTAACCTGAACTGGAAAGGGACCAGTATCTTAGCAGGGAGATTTGCTCATTCCATTAAGGGAGATGTGTTACACTGACAGAATTCCTCCACTCCCCCTCTCTAATTCGCAGTGTAAACAGGAGGACTAATGGGGAAGGTTCTGAATGTGAAGAGAACGTGTCAATTCGAGACGAAAGACAAGAGAGTGTCAGAGTATGTAGTAACTCTGAAGAACTAAATTGCATTTATTTCAATGCAAGCGGTCTTATAGTTAAGACTGATGAACTCGGGGCATGTTTAAGAACATGGGATTGGGACATCATAGCTATGACAGAAACTTGGCTGAGAGATGGATAAGACTGGCAGCTCAATGTTCCGGGTTTTAGATGCTACAGGAAGGATAGGAACGGAGGCGAGAAAGGACGGTGGTGGTTGGAGGGGTGGGGTCACTTTTGATTAAGGAATACATTACTGCTGTAACTAGAGAAGATACTTCTGAAAAATCATCCAGTGAAAATATATGGGTAGAAATTACAAATAGGAAAGGGAAGATTATTTTGGGATTGCACAATAGGGCCCCCAGAAGTAAGAAGGAAATTGAGCAACAAATATGTAGGGAGCTCTCAAATATGTGTAAGCATAATAAGGTTGTAATAATGGGTGAATTTTAATTTTCCAAACATTGACTGGTGCTACCATAGTATTAAAGATTTGGATGGTAAAGAATTGGTCAGATGTGTTCAAGAAAATTTTCTTTATCAATATGGGATCCTCTTGGAAGGAGTGATCACAGTATGGTCAAATTTAAAATACAGATGGAGCGTGAGAAGGTTAAATCCAGTACCTATGTCCTGTGCTTAAACAAAGGAGACTATGAAGGAATGAGGAAGGAGTTATCTAAGGTAGAATGGGAGCAAAAACTTTATGGTGCGTCAATTGAGGAACAGTGGAGGACTTTCAAAACAATTTTTCACAGTGGTCAGCAGAAGTATATTCCAATGATAAGGAAGAACTGTAGGGAAAGAGAGAGCCAGCCATGGATGTCTAAGGAAATAAAGGAAAGTATCAGATTGAAAAAACACACATACAAAAACGCAAAGAGTAGTGGGAAACTAGTAGACTGGGAAATCTTTAAAGGCCAACAGAAAGCCACAAAAAAAGTTATAAAGAAAAGTAAGCTAGATTATGAGAGTAAACTAGCTCAGAATATAAAAACAGGCAGCAAGAGTTTCTATAAATATGTAAATCGTAAAAGAGTGGTGAAGGTAAACATTGGTCCTTTAACGGATGAGAATGCCAATTTAATAACTGGGAATGAGGAAATAGCCGAGACATTAAACAGTTATTTCGTGTCGGTCTTCACAGTGGACGACACAAATAACATGCCGAAAACTAATGGCAAGAAGGTTATAGCAGGTGAGGACCTAGAAACTATCATTATCACGAAGGAGGTAGTGCTGGGCAAACTAATGGGGCTAAAGGTAGACAAGTTTCCTGATGGAATGCATCCCAGGGTAATAAAAGAGGTGATGGGGGAAATAGCAAATGGACTAGTAATTATTTACCAAAATTCACTGGACTCTGGGGTGGTTCCCGCAGATTGGAAAACAGCCAATGTGACGGCACTGTTTAAAAAAGGAACTAGACAAAATGCAGGTAACTATAGGCCAGTTAGCTTAACTTCGGTAGTGGGGAAAATGCTTGAATCTATCATTAGGGAAGAAATAGCAAGACATCTGGATATAAATTGTCCCATTGGAAACACCCAGCATGGGTTCATGAAGGGTAGGTCATGTTTAACTAATTTGGTGGAATTCTTTGAGGACATTACTTGCATGGTGGACAATGGGGAACCTGTGGATGTGGTGTATCTGGATTTCCAGAAGGCATTTGACAAGGTGCCACACCAAAGGCTGCTACATAA